AATTGGCAGAAAGCCTTTGACTGGAGTTCCTCTGACAGGTCACTGCTTCGAGACGCTTCTGGCGTGGCTGCCTCAGCATTTTCTGTGTTCATTCCAGCTGGGTTTTTTCAGTGAGATTCCCTACACCCGTGCACGCTGCTTCTCCCCCTACCAGCAGCTCACATGCTCATGACGATGAGCTGGGCTGTCACCGCTTGGCCGCCGGTGGGGGTTTGGGAGGCCTGCGCGTTACTTCGTTCATCTCCTCTGACAGGTCACTGCTTCGAGACACTTCTGGCGCACCTGCCTCGGCACTTTTGTGTCCTCATTCCGGTTCGTTTTTTTCCGTGAGCTTTTCCTGGCGCCGTGCACGCTGCTTCTCCCCTTACCAGCAGCCCAAATGCTCACGACGATGAGCTGGGCTGTCACCGCTTGGCCACCGGTGGGGGGTTTGGGAGGCCGCATCACACACAGACACCCACACACTCCCTCAAGTTACACGAACACACACATACGCAGACTCATTTCCACACGGACATAGACACACGCACAGAAACCCACACACTACCACACACTACCTCAACTCACTCGACTTCACACTTCTCACTGCACACTTACCGGATAACTCGCACTCTGACTTCCTACGTGATGAAAAATGCTTTCGGGCCACTCGTCGTCTAGTTTTCTTTTTTAAAAACTTATGTATACTGGTTTTTGCTTTCTTTCTTTCTTCCTCCTCCTCCTCCTCCGGACCTCAACCGCGAGCTTGCTGGCAGTGTTCCCCGCCGGACCTCAACCGCGAGTCAGAAGATATGCCAGATAGAACGCCAAAAAGAATGTCAGCAAATATGCCAGATAGAATGCCAGAATGTATGTCAGACGAGATGCCAGAAAAAATGTTAAAAACATGTCAGAAAATTTGCAAAAAAGAATGCAACAATAATATGTTTCAATAATCCCCACCGTTGGGGGGACCTACCCCGCTTTCGAAAATGAAAATGTTTCATTTATACCCCGTCCCCCCCCACCTCTACTTTCACAAAAACATACTAAAAGGATTTTTTTCATTGTTTTGGCCTTCCAAGCATGCTGCTCCAAGCATGCTGCTGGCGCGTTTCCTTTTTGGTCTAGCGCTAAGAAAACTCCTTTTGGTAGCTAGCGCACAACAGACCCCGACGTGCTTAAGACTAGTAGTCTTCAGCGCTTCTGGGCGCTAGCCAGCGCTTCCAAGCTGGGATTTGGTCATATGAAGTGCCGGCTTGGGACCCGACGTGCTTAAGACTAGTATTCCTAAGCGCTTCTACTTCCTCTGGCTGGACATTGCTCGGGGAGCGAGAAGCGCTTAGGACTACTAGTCTTAAGCACGTCGGGTCCCACTTTATATAACCAAATCCCAGCTTGGAAGCGCTGGCTAGCGCCCAGAAGCGCTTAAGACTACTAGTCTTAAGCACGTCGGCCCCCCAGTCCGTCAAAGCAATCACTGCTGCTTGTTTGTGTGTGTGCGTTGTCCTTGCTTCTCCACACTACATTTGATTTGGCAAAGGACTTTGTGGACCACGCAAAATGGTGTGATGCCCTTTTGGCCCATTACACAGGAGGGATAGAGAAGTGTATTGGCTCGCTAGAGCCAGGTCATTGGGCCAGGCTTTCATCCCCCCAAACCACACCTCCTAAATGAAAGCAAAAAATGTGTCCTCAAACATCAATCCAAAAGGCAAATATAAGCAGCATCAAGGCAGTAGCTTACACCTCTTTTCCCTGAGAGGTGGTAGTGTCTGCCTTTACAGGTTTGAGCTGTCCTTCCACCCTGTGCCAGGACTTCGCCTGGTGTGCACTGGGTGGCATTCGAAAACCTGTAAAGCAGACTGACACCGGGCGTCCAGTCTAGGACCCATGGGTGTCATGGTCTAGTTTGGTCGAGCTCCTCCCTATCAGTGCATGAAGCAACTGAGGAGGAGCTCAAAAAGGAGAAATCCCGGGGCCTCAGTAGTGGTAGATCTCCTTGAGGACCCAGTTCATGAGGGTAAACTCCGAGAGTATGTTTTTCGCATCCAGGTGAAACTCCGGGTGGAACCCTGTAGGATTCGGATGGGTGAGTTCGTCAGCCCATTGGTTGAGGTCTCGCTTCACGTGGCTGGGGGCAAGCTGAGCCCCGCCCTTTGTGAAGTGTAAGGACCAGCTGCATCAAAATAGCTGAAGTGGGCATCTGCCGCGTCTTGTTGTTCAGCATACAGAAGACATTCCCTTGGTTGTCAGTGATGACCGGGATCTTGATGGCCAGCTGGTGGCGTTCCCCCATCTTCAAGATGAAGGAGATGAGAATGAGGGATCCCAGTAGCTCAAGCGCTGGTATCATAGCGCTGGCTGTCTTGGTGTTGAACAGCCAGGGAAAGGTCGTCTCTTCCAATTTGAGGTGGAACCAAAATACTGATGGTTTGGATGGGGTTGGATCAGAGGAGAGCCAACCACCAATGTAGTTCTCCTTCTGGTTGGAAGCACTCGCATCACTCGCCCCGTGCCCAGGGTGACCAGGGCGCAAAGGGTGTTGGTTGAGTGTATGGTTCTTGGAAAAGTAGTCGCAACATCTTGGCAAAGACTCGGATCAAATGATTAGGTCTGCCCGATGACTTGACTGCTCCTTTCCATTGCCAAAGCGGTTGAAGAAGCGGTTTGGTTAAGGGGCAAGCACTTGTTGCCCATTGGAGTCTGCCCATGCCCTTTTCAAGGTCCTTAAGGGTGAATACTTCCCCTGCTGCTAGTTTATCCAGCAGTTGCAGGACCAAGGTGTGTTTCTCCTTCGCCATCTGGGCAATGGGTCCAGAAGGGTCAATCACGAAGCCAAGCCATGTGTTCGTGTGGGAGAGGGCAGTCTTCTTCCAGCTCAAGGGGGTCCCTAGGGAGAGCAGCACCACTAACAGGGCCGTCGAGTGGAGCTCCGCTAGGGGTCCACTAGTAGCCATGCAAAGTCGTCAACGAAGACGAATCCCCAATCGATTTCCGGGAACACTGCATAGATGATCCTAAGGAGGAGGGCTGCCATGCGCCCCCAGTAAAGCTGGGCACTTGCCATCCCATACGTGCCCACCTTGCCCATTCGTGACCAATTTGGGCAACCTGGTACCTCCAATCCTGGACCCGCAGCTGGGGGCTTTTGTCCAAGACTGCTAACTTCCACTGAGCAAAGAGACTTTTGAGAGTCACCCTGGTCCCAGGAGTCGGACTGCCAACGGAGCTGCTTGTCCGCATCAAAGGTCATAGTTCATGTGACGCCATCCACTGTCACCGAGGCTGAGGGCAGTGCCGTTGGAACCTTCCCCTCCGTAGAACCACAGTGAAGACACTTCGGCGACTTGGGGAGGACCCAGCTTGTGAAACAGTTGGCGCACATGTAGGGCAGCTTGGATTCCACCTCTGGGAGGGTCGTCAGCTTCTCCATGGAGCGCGCTTTTTGGGCAGATGCTTAGCCTCCCAAATCTCCTGCGCAAGGTGCTTGGCCTTGGCAATGGCATAGACCTCAACAATGACATAGACAATGAGGTGCCAAGGCCGCCGTTGCAGGAGCGTCCGAAGATGCCAATGGAGGGGTCGACGATGTAGGTGCCACTGTCAGTGCATGGGGATACAACCACCGCCGTCCCTGTGGTAGCCTGGAGCGAGAGGGTGTTGACGCCACTCACCATCGCCTCCAGATCCTTTGCCAGATCCTCAGGGGTTTTGTCCGGGGGGATCACGTAATCGGCCAAAATGGCCATCTCATCTTGATCGGCCTCAAGCTGGGCTGATTATGCGGCTGCGACCTCCTGCTGCATAGGATCCAAGTCCAGATCCATGAAGTCATCAGCTGAGTCCAAAAGTTCGAAGTCGAAAAGCGTGTCAGCCATTGCGGCGAGAGTCAGAAAAGATCAAGTGGGATACAGCCACAGAAAAGTTCGAAAGTTTGATCTTTGATGGATCAGGGTTCTGATCCTAATGAAATGTATTGAGGACACATTGTTTGCAATCCGCAAACTCCATGCAAAACCAAAGAAAATTCATTATGTGACCCCCCCTGAATTTTCATTTATAAGCGGGTGGTGATTTTCAATACATGCCAGAAATTTTGTCAGATTGAAATGCCATGGCGGGATCACTAAGTAAAGTAATATATTTTTTCCCCAAACAGTGTGGATACACTAGGGGTTCTTACGGTAATAGTTAAGCGCCGGTGTCTAATCGAGGTGATGCGCATCCGTGTCCGGCTAATTCGTTGCTACTTACAAAAATGCCTCTCAAAATCCTCGAAGTGCATTTCAACTGCGCAAGCTCGCAAAATCTGCGTGGGCGCAGCGGGTGCTGGTCGCAACTGCGCTCTTGTTGTGGCACCGCGCGCATTTTTGGACATGGTAGTCACTTTTCGCGGCAGGCGCAAGGGAAACCTTGTGTTTTGGTGGTCCAGAGTCGGCTTTCGCGACAAGTGCAAGGGATCGGAGCGGTTTTAAATCGAAGTGCAGATTTCGTGGCAGGCGCAGCACTTTTTGGACATGGTGGTGATCTTCGACGCGCTCTGATTTCGAGGTCTATAGAGGTGTAGCACCAGAAAGTTTATAGAGATCTAGACGCATTGGGGTCCAGAGGGGTGATGGCGATGGTGGCGGTAGTGGTGAGTGAGTGAGTGAGTGAGTGAGTGAGTGAGTGAGTGAGTGAGTG